GCTGCAGTGGCTTCAGATAGCTTCATCATGCTGTGCTTTAATCCATTGTGCCACTAGGAAGGGCCCTATACTTAATTCCTATACTTAATTTTTAATTACTAGAAAATTATGTTGTTTGCAATTTTTTATTCTATTTGGAGAGAGTAACATAGAGTGGTATGAAACCGAGACTGGAGGTAAGTGGTCTTTGTTTCACCACTTTCTTTTTTGTAATTTTTGAACAAGTCACCTGGCTCTCAGTTTTGATTTTTTGGTTTATTTTTTATTTTGGTTCTCAGTTTCTTTATAAAATATAGATAACCATGATTCCTACCTTGTTGGGCTGCTGTGAGGGGTTATCTGTATCAAATGCTTAGAAAGTGTTGATGGATATGCCATAAGTAGGGTGCACATTTTTTTCAGTTGGATCATCCTAACATCAGTATGCTGGTTGCCTTCATTTTCAGCCAGATGACTGCTGTTACCCAGTTATATGATGCTATCTATTGTCAAGGCATCAGTGTGTCTTAAATCTATGAAATTCAATTTTTTGAGAGATATGAAGCAGGGCAAACACACTTTCTTTGTCCAAATTGTCTGCCCTTTACCTTTATATGGCACACTCTTCCTTTAAGTCTCAATTCAGACATCATTTAAGCAGAGAAGTCTTTCCTGATTAAAGATCATCCCCATGTTTTCATTGTATCTAGCACATTTCCTTACCTTAGTAGGATATTTTATTGTCTAATAACTGGATGCCTCTGCATTTAAACTGTAAGCTTCTAGAGCATGCATCCCATTGAACTCTTGGCCTAGCACGATGGAACACTGCCAGTACTGAGAGATAGGAAGTGAATGAATTTAACTACCCAGTTAAATGTAGGTTATGGTTACTGAAGTCATTGGCAGTTATTGCTACAAAGGTTCCAGGATGAGTCCTTTGTCATGAGAAGATCATAATATGGGTTGTATACTTCCAATAATATACACAGTAGGTTGAAATTCCATTTAGTTCCAACTTGTTATGAGGGCTTATTAGAGAAAGCAGCCCGTTCCATTCTGATACTCTCTTTAGTCTTGTTTCCTGAAGCATTTGCATGAATCTGGGTACTTTGTGTCTGATGACCAATCTCTAGCACAGTAAGACCTGAAACCAGAGACTGAAAATGAGTCTTCACTCCCTCACTAACATTTGTGTTCTTTTCAATTTAGCCTGGAACCAAATTCTGTGCTCTAACTATTTCTATTAACTATATTTTAGAAGAAATTGTCAGTAGGAATAACTAACCTGGATACTTTTACAGAAGGGGGTGAAACACTTGCCCCTTAGATTTGAGTGAGGCATTAAGTAAAATCATCAGATGATTTGAGTTTAGACTATCTTCAACCCCAGAACTGGTGGTTAAGATGACTGGCCAATTTGACACTAAACATAAGGAATGAAGTTTATCTCTTATCTAGTCAACATACCCTTGCATTTGTAGTAACCAGGGGAGAAAGTTGGCTTTCATGCAAGTAAGTGTGCAACTCACTGATACTCATCTAATATGAATGTGTTGAGGGAGTTAAATATGACATAAGAAGAAAGAAAGTCACTATGATATCTAAATTCAAGCCCCGTTTCTGTGTCCTGCTTGTTCTACTTCCTGACTATCTGTGAGCTTCTGTTTGTGGATTTTCCCTCAGCATAGTCCAGTTGGGTATTAAGTACTCACATTGTGAGACCTCTGTGTCAGTGGTCTTTTAGGAAAATACAGCCCCAAAGAGGGAAGCTGTCACTTCAAAGCATGCCACAATGCTTAGCCGGGAAATTAACCAAGTCCACATGACAATATATCTTTAACAGCCTAGAGCCCTGCCTTTGATGCTAGTAATTATTGATTTCTGCTATAAATTTTTTTATGTTATAAGAAGAAGTCTCATGACCCTCTTAGGAGGGTATGGGGAGATTGGTTGGTTTTATTTGCCTGATACCAAGAAAATAGAACTGTTCTCTACTAACTTTTGTGCTGGGAGAGAAGTTGTAGATGAGGGTGGAAATGGGTTATGATTGGGGAGAGCCAGTCCTTTCTACTTTGTACCTTATGCCACTCTCCTGATGCTATAAACACAGTCTGAAGAGCAGATATGTTGGGGTCCACAGTGGAGATGTGGAGAAAAAGAATTTCAACCATCATGAATTAAAAATAAAAAAGAAAAAAGATTTGAAACAATGTTGATGTCTTTATCAAGATAACTTTATTAACAGAAATAGCTTCTGTGTGAATCAATTAAATCCTTCATTACACATAGAGAAAAAAAACTCGATTTAATCTAATACCTGAGTTCCCAGAAATTAAGAGGGATATGGAAACTTTGGAGAAGTTTCAGAAAAAAAGATGAGCAAAACAGAATAAAGTTTTCAAAAATTAGTAAAAATATTCAGTCTTGCAAAGAACAGAATCAAGCCTGTATCTCCAGTTCAGGAATAAAATAATCTGTAATTAGAGAACAGTGATTAATTGGATTGACTGTACTGCAAGAAGAAGGAGGGGAAAAGATCAAATTATAAAATAATGGATTTGGCTATGTAGGTTGATAAACTAGGGAAGAAGTTACAAGGACTTGCATGATTTACTTTGGTGGGTCCTCAATGCAATACAGAGTCATCTCTACCTGGAATAGACAGCTGAGGGGATTTAAAGACACATACATTGTCATTTGTTTTTAAAGAATAGATCCTAGAGTTTCCCTGGTGGCACAAGGGTTAAAATGCAGCACTATGAAGCTATCCACAGCCACTGCAGCACAAGTTCAATTCCTGGCCAGGGAGGTGACCACATGGCATGGCAGACCTCTCCTGACCTGCCCACTGCTCCTCTCAGCAGTATATTTCATCACTCCATCTGTTCTGCTCCCATTTTGTCTCTAATGAATCCTCTTATTACCACACCCCACACTTCTGGCCTGTTCCACAGTTCTTGTATGCATATATACATAAATCTTAAAAAAAAAAAAAAAGGATAGATCCTAGATGGAAAGAGTTGTAATTGAAAAAATTTGGCAATAAAAGAAACAACTCATATGAATAGCAAATAGGCTTCAGTCTCCTCTTGGAAATATCACCAAATCTTATTTTGTGAAAGAAGATTGTGAGTTCTTAGGTAATTGCTTTGTAGATCTACTTTAGGTTCAGCAATTCTCTCTTATTGTTTTTAATTGTGTTAAGTATGTTTATTAAAGTACTAATGAGACCAAAGCCATAGAGATTAAAAACAGAATTATTCATATAAACCTTTTGATATTATCAAATAAAAGGTAACTTCTAATACTGGAGGATGAATCCTGCACTTCTAATAAGGTGTTTGCTATGTACTTATTTTAATAGTTTAGTTTAGAAAATTTTTATGAAATGGAACTTTACCATAAAAGCAATTTATCCTACAAAGCTCTAGGCAGGGTGCACCTTCCCCAGTGATTTTATAGCATCCAATTAATAAATAAATGCATGTTTGGGTAGGCAATACATCTTGAGAAGAGCTTTTGCTTATTGTCACCCTTTATAATTTTTAGAATATTTTGAGGGTTTTTTTTTTCCTTTACTGCTCTCCTTTTCCTCCTCATTGATTTGAATTGCAGATTCTGTCCTTTTTTTTTTCGGAACTGCACTTTCAATTCTTTTAAAATGTTGTTATCTGTATTTGTCTTACCAGGTTTCATGTGCTTTATCTTTTCATTTGCTGTTCATTTTCAGCCTTATATTTGTCTTACTTCTTAAAGCCCATGAATTTAAACATGTTTGTCAATTTTTCCATTTTTTTCTGATTTCCTCCCATTTACAGGTATTTTAAGTGAAATCTTGAGAGCAAATTATCAATTTCTGAGCTAGAGTGCACTACCCAGACTTATAACAGGGTCAGTTCAGTGGTCGGTAGATCTGCTGTGTATTTCTACTCTGTGTCTTTATGATCTCTGCCTGTGTTACTGAATTTCTGATCTATTCCTGCTCTTTGTGGCTTCATTCTCTTCTGTCTCCTTACACTGTAGTCAGCTAACCTTATCAAGACACAAATCTACATTGTTTTAATTGTTAAAAGCCCTTTACTACTAATCCTTTGTCTACATGAAATCTAAACTCCTCCGTGTGCATAAAAACCCCTCTATGACATAACCAAATACTCCGAGTAGCCGTCTCTTCCCCTACAACAGTTCATACCATCCCCTAGCCGGATACTCTTATCTATTGAAACTGAGTTGCCCGGAACAGGTTAAGTCATGGAATTGAAAAATGGAGTAAAAGGCCCTCCCTGGTGGCACAACAGGTTACAATGCAGCACAGCAGGCAAGCCGCATCTGCTCAGTGCCATTTTAATCCCCAGTCCCACAGGTGACCCACGTCTGTAGGGAGGCAGACTTCTGACCCACCCACTGCTCCTTCAGCAGTGTACTTCCTTGAACTGCCTACTCTGCTCTTCACTGTCTCTGGTGAATCCTCTCAGCGCCCCTGCACCTCTGGCCTGCCCGCCAGTTCTGTATGCATGAATAAATAAATCTTTTTTTTTTAATGGAGTAATGCTTAAGCAATGGAGTATTAAGAATGACCCATTAGCATGGAACATCAGTTTGTAATGCACTGTGACAAGTTGTTGCTGGAGCCCCAATGCCTTTCTAAGGGTTGGCGATGAAGGGTGTCATCAAGGAGAGAGAACACGTGGCTCTGAAGAGAGTGGCCTTACCCTCACTCACATGCTGATGCCTCCCCTCTTTCTTTCCCAACCTCAGCCTGTGATGGTGATCACTGGGGGCCCCACTGCAGCAGCCGATGCCAGTGCAAAAACAAGGCTCTTTGCAACCCCATCACGGGGGCTTGCCACTGTGCTGCAGGCTTCCGGGGTTGGCGCTGTGAGGACCGCTGTGAGCAGGGCACCTACGGTAATGACTGTCATCAGAGATGCCAATGCCAGAATGGAGCCACCTGTGACCATGTCACGGGGGAGTGCCGCTGCCCACCAGGATACACCGGAGCCTTGTAAGTAACCTGCGGCAGTACATCCCGCACCGCCCTTTCATGCTGCCTGTGTCTGTTCCCATCGCTGCCTGAAGAGTTACTGATGGGGTGGGACAGCAATCAGCAGTGGTGACCACTGGTACCCCATCGTGAACCCTGAGCATCACCGCTCATGAAGTCTAAAGACCACCTTCCATGCTTTCCTTTCAGCAGGGAAAGGACAGAGAGGGTCACCATGTTGTACTCAACAGCAATGTGTGGGGCTTTAAGCATAGATTTGAGGTTTCCCTTTGATTGTTCCAAAACTGCATTTATTTTACTGCGCTGGTTGTTGATGGTCCATGTTGTTCTGCTCTGTGTAGCAACCAGTTCATTGGGTAATGCTCATACCTGAGTGCCCTGGAGAAAAGGGGGAAGATGATCCATGATAAAAGGCTAACTGGGTCATTCATTGCTTACAGATATGTTTGCTGCTTTGTGGGTACAAAAGTAGATATGTCACATCTGTGTAGATATGTGCACAGTTTACTTTTTTTCTGAAAAACTGAAACAGCTATGGAATTTAAAACAGTTTCAGTGCTTTATCTTTTGTTCAGGGTATTCTTCCATTTGTTTGTTTGCAAGCAGAATAAGAGGTGGAATTTGTCAAAATAAAAAAAAGCAAGAGATAGAAAAATCTTTTTCCTTTACTGAGGAAATTACACTTGTAAATCACAGAACTAAAACTTGAAAAAATGTAGTTGATTAGGTAAATACTTCCTGCCGACAGTATTAACTGCTATAAAGTACAGCTAAAGAAAAAACTCATTAGCCTAGAAAGCCCTGATTTTTCAAAAGAATGCTCATCTTAAACTATTTACTTGTTAATATTGCTTTTATGGGTTGTATCAAGGCCACCATTGAATGGGTTTTTGGAAACTTGGAGAGATTTCACAGAAGAGCAGAAAAGATAATTAAGAATTTAGGGAAGTCTCCTCCCACAAGGGGAGCCAGCAAATAAAAGAGTACAGACTATTCAGTCAAGAGAATACTGAAAATTGATTATGTAGTATATGTGCACAGACAGGTAATGTACAAATGTTCAGCCTCTTTTAAAGCTAGAACAAATGCACAAATTGAAGTAGATGTAAAATACAACACATGGACTTTATTAAAATTGCATAGGATGTTTCGGTGCTCTCAGATTAGACAGTTTCTCCTCAAACTAAAGCTGTTTCATTATAAAATGCCCCCAAGGGCAACTGGTGGTGCAACTGGTTAAAGTGCAGCACTATGACTAGCCACAGCTGCTTCAGCACAAGTTTGATCCCCAGCCAGGGAAGTGACCCATATGGTGTGGCAGACCTCCTCTGACCTGCCCGCTGCTCCCCTCAGCAGTGTACTTCATCAGTTTGCCTGTTCTGCTCCCCAGTCTGTCTCTGGTGAATCCTCTCAGTGCCCCTAAACCTCTGGTCTGTATCCCGGTTCTATATGCATAAATAAATCTTTAAAAAATAAAAAAGATACCCCCAAACAAAGGGAAGACCTAGGTGACCCTCAGAGGCCATTCCACACAATTTGGTTAATGTTCATAATATTGATGAAATCAACAATATTGAACAGAGAAACATTGTCTGTTGTAGGGCTCTGGGTGCTATTGTGTCTGTTAACCAGAGATTTATATGGTTGGGTAAATAACAGTGTCCTTTGTCAAATTAATCCCTTAGCTGTGAGGATCTTTGTCCCCCTGGCAAACATGGTCCACAGTGTGAGCAGAGATGTCCCTGCCAGAATGGAGGAGTATGTCATCATGTTACAGGAGAATGTTCCTGTCCTTCCGGCTGGCTGGTAAGCTCCCATTGTGCCCCCAAAGTCACTCAGTCTTCCTCTTCTAGGAGGCTCAAGTGAAAATGTGTATGGAAGACTAGCATACACTAGAAATTATGTTGATGGTTATAGGCCCCAAGCTGGAATTACCGAAGTGCTTTGCACTTGAACTTCTTCAGCCTAGGAACAAAACAGAAGGCAGTCAAATGCTGACCTTGAAGAGTGTTAAGGATACATGTTATGTGAAAAAGTGACTTGATCATATAAATCTAGAGATAGATTGAAGCAAAACAGGGTTACCACACATTGCAAAAACTTCTCAAAGCTTTTAATATGGTAATTCTAGAGGAAGCTCTAACTTACCACTCTTCCCAAACTTTGACCTTGATGGACTTTACAATGTAGTATCCACAGCCTTTGAATGTGTGGCATAAACAATATTGAGATAGATTAGTTTACTAACTAGACTTCTCTGAAATTAAGAACAATGTTTTCATCTTTTGAGATTGGTTTTTATGTAAGTCTGGGACTGAAGAATGAATGATTAGTGTCTCTATCAATAGAAATTAAAGAAAGATTTGGAACATGATCCCATTCCACCTCTGAGTTGTATTGAAGTTGCTCTAATGGGGCTAGAAGTGACTTCTTTATTGCCAAATCCAGCAATGATCTCTCTGTTTCCGTTCTGCTTCACCACTCCAAAACTTTTGACACTGTTGCTCATCCACCTTTCTTCCTAAGTCTCTTAGCTTTCTGCCTCTCTCTCTCCTTCCTCCCACTTTATCACAGCAATCCTAGGTTTCAGTCTTGTGCTTCTCTTTTCTCCCTATTAATCATCTCTGGTAATCCCCTACAGACCCATACCTTTAACTTCCATCCCTGATTACCCCCACATCTTGATCTTACCTCAACTGTGCCAGATATTTGCAGCTATCCTGTTAGAGAGCCCAGTCTAAATGACCAATAAATTACAAAGGCACTCTCTCTCTGGATTATGTTTAAACTGGATTCTAAGAAGTCAGGTGGTCTAGGAGTTATTTTAGAACAAGGAATTAGAACTGTTTTTACATCTGCCCCACTCCTCCCTCTCCACACTGTGAGCTGATAAGAGGGTATGACCTTACCTTTGATTCTTATAACTTAGCACTATGCCTGGCACATAGATGATGCTCCATTCTGTGTTGATTTATATCATCTCTCAAAGGCCTTTTCAGTTCCAAGAGTTTGTGGAAGAACTTCCCCTGTTTGTAGATCACTAGAAGCCACCAGAGGAGACTTAATTAGCACACCAACTGCCTTTTGCGGGTAGCCAGGAGTTAGAGGAAATGTATTTTCTTATGCTATCCAGAATAAACATTTACAAAACCATCTGGTGTTCACTGGCCTCCAATTTCAGAGTGCCCACAGTCTGCATTTTTTTTTTCTTTTAGCAAGAATGAGGACAAAAATCCAACTGAAAAAGATGTTAAGAAATCCCTGTTATTTGTTATATTATTTGCCTAACAATAACTCGAATAAGTAGTGCAGAAGCTACTAGCCTGAGTTAATGGAGTCAAGTGAAGTAGAAAATAGTAGAGTGTTTCATTGACTTATTGGTATAGTGTCTTACTCGTACCCACATAGACTTGGAATAAATATAATAATGTTGCCTGACAAGATGTACAGCCCCTAGGGCGAAGAGAGACTTCAAAGTTACTTTCTTGATTTTTCTTCCCAGGAAATAAGCTTTCCTATTTATTTATCTTGGCTCAACAATACTTGTTGACTCTGCTGAAAATAACACTGTTTTTCTTCTGAAATAAACTGTCTAGGTTCATTCCTGTGGAAGTATTTCTTAGGTAACGGTGTTAATTCAGGTACACAAAATTTCAATCTTGATGAAGATAAGAAGCAAAGCCAATGATAATGTGTTTTTTTCTAAAGAACATATGGTAAAGCATTTGGATATTCCATTTGCACCAGATGTTGCTGTTTATGTAGCGGATGCTCAATAAGTTTTGTTGACTTATTGTACATGTAAGACACAAGGAAGAATACTTAGGAGAAATTATAAATTCCTTAGGTTACCATAATAATTGGATGCAATTTTATCTTAAGCTTTTAGTTTTTTAGCATGGATATTTCTCAAGATTATTATGCTGCCATCTTTGAATGTGTCTTTTGAGTTTTGGGCTTATCAAATAAGTAAATCAATTTAAAATTTCTAAGGTTTTAAAGATGGTAAACAGAGCTTATATGTTTTAAAATTCCCTTTATCTAATTTTCTTGCAGCCCTTCTCTCCTATCCCTCTTCCCTCCTTTTCTGTTTCCTCTTTTTTTTTTTTTTCCCTGTCCTTCAGCCCTTTCCTGGCTGGAGGCCCATCTAATTTCCCAAGTCTCTTTCAATGCAGGGCACAGTGTGTGGTCAACCTTGCCCTGAGGGTCGCTTTGGAAAGAACTGTTCTCAAGAATGTCAGTGCCATAATGGAGGGACATGTGACGCCACCACAGGCCAATGTCATTGTGGTCCAGGATACACAGGGGAACGGTAAGGGACAGTCTGGTATTTCTCTGACCATTTGTAATGCATGAAAGGAAATCTGGGATTTTCCATGGGACACCTAGGATGCCATGTATCTGTGACTATAATATTCCAGAAACAGCTACCAAGTATAAATGCATTTGACAGAGTCTAGCCCTACTCAGTGCACAGAAATTGAATCATAAGTATACTGAATTGAAGATACAGAAAAAAACATAACAATAAGAGTAAAATAATAATATCAACCATTCAGAACTCAGGATGATAACATGCTAAAATTTGAATGTCTAGAATAGTACATTTAAAATATTTGTGGCTAGATTTAATTTTAAATGGATATATATTTAGGTATCTTTTAAAAGTATGTTGGATATAAAGTTGGTGTCATAAAATACCTTTAGTATTCTGTTAAAATAGCAGTCTTTTTATTGTATGGTAGTGATAGTGGAATTTATAAGGTTCTTTATTTTTATATGAAATAAGAGCAAATGGTTGTGCATGTGTATTTCTTACTTCCACTGCTTGTTTTTTTTTGTTTGTTTGTTTTGGGTTGTTTTTTTTTTTTTTTTGTATTAAATGGTGAAATGTTCTTTGTTCACCCTAATCTAATTTGCTCTTTAATGTGTATGTTGTGGAAGACTAGATAATGAAGCTCTCTAGGTGTGGGTATAATGTTAGAGGAAAGAGACTTGAGAGAAAGAAAAGTTTACTATCAAAAATAAAAGTTTTGGATCCTGTGTACTTAGAAATAGCCTCACCTATAATGCTTAAATAATAACTGCATTTTCCTCCGGGGTTCTTACAAGACTCAAATAAATTAGTACATTAAAGCATTTAGAACAATGCTGAAACACACAAATATCTCTCATATCTCTCACTGTAGTTAAGTGACTGATACAAGTTGAAGAACCATTAGTGCTTAGCAGTGTTGCTACTGTTGAGAAACTAAGATATTAGCTATCATTGTTTCAAGATAATACCTCTGAAATAGGAATTCTTTAACCTCCTTAAACTTCTACCTTTCTAAAATTCTGATCCAATTTTATGACTTATCAGTTAGTTACATTGTTTTTAGCAACTAAAGTTGTTCAGTTATGCCATCATATCAAATAAGGCTATGAGAAAGGCTATGGGACAGTGAGGGGGAACTTGCTTCTTAAATTGTTCTTTTAACTATTGTTTTTCTGATGAACTGATGACTTGATTCCTGTTTTCAATTATGCTAGCTCCATTTGGATTCTGGAGTTGTCATGCACACACACACACACTCACACACAGACAACAGCACATTTGTCACTATGAAAAGGAAAAAAAAAAAGTGGTTATGGGATAATTTGTGGTGGGAGGTATGGGGAAAGCAACCTAGAGGGTGGCTCTTCATTTGTCACTTGCCCTGTTTTGAGAAGTCAGCGTAATTTGATCAGAGAGCTTAGGCCAGAGGTGCAGGTACCACCTCAGGCAGCTGCCAGGAAAGCATGCAGGATGTGGGGACAGCCTTCCCAGCCAGAGGGCAAACAGAAAAAACAAAACAGGCACCTTGTAGGCAGACAGAGCAGCAGTGGGATGTCCAAATAATAGGCTTTAGGGTTTCTGGAAAGATTCAGAGGACATTGTGGGAGGAAATGTGACTTAACACAGTCAAGTTTACAGATCCTCACCAGTCTTCTGAAGGGGTTAACAAATGTTCTCTTTTCTCTTTTCTTTGCTCTTTCATTTTATTTATTAATTTGTCAATATTTTTCCGTATCCATATATCTTTGGGGCTACATATTTGCTCTTCCATATGTGCATATGCTTTTTCACCCTCCACTAAAACTCCCATGCCAATGCCCTATTCCTTTCCTTCTCTTCTCTCTTCTCTCCTCAACTGGGGGAAACTGCTCTGGTTACCAGGAATTTGGACTCTGTGAAAAACAGAGTGTTCTTAGTACTGATGGGTTGTCAAAGAATCTCTCTGGGGCCTTTGATGGCCTAGAATGGTCCATCCACCTAATTGTCTTCTGCAAGTGTTAGCTACATGGAAAAATCTATGGGTCAGTTATGGACTCTATTAACCCAAGACTGTTTGTCCATGCCTGTGTTCTGTATTATTCTGAAACTGAAGAAGAATGTGGGTAAAAGGTGGTAGATTCAAAATTATAAACAGAAAGTCAGAGGATGCAGCATGTTCTTCAAACGAGGAACAATTCCTTGCACCCAGGTTTGTGGAAAAGTTCGCATTTCCCCAGCACCTTTTATATGTCCTCTACATGCTAGGTAGGCAAGCAAGTGATCCATTGATCCCAATTTTAATGAGGAATGTGATTTTTTTCACACTGTCATGTTTTGACCCAATTATTCCAATCACTCTAGAGAAAGACATACTCAAAAGGCCAAGGTGGGGAGCTGCCACCCCCTACCTGCACCTTGTTTCCTTTTTGACTCTCAAAACGAGCTAGTCAGGACCAGCTATTAAAACAAGCCTGGGCCCCTCACTGGCGTGGGAATTGGCATCATGTTTTATGAGTTTATTTTTATTTAATGTTTATCCACATTTTCCAATTCCAGAGCATTGTACAAAATCTGGAAAAAATATAAACTCCAAATTTCCACTGTGGCCAGTATTTACTGCTATATCTTTGTCATCCTTTCTGCTATCTTCCTGAGGAAATATATTTCCTCCTTTACTCATTTCTAAGATAGTTTTGCTGCTCCTACTTGGTATGACAAAGCTACATTAAGGGCATAAAACTCCCTGGGAAATGATTTTTTTTTTTTTTTCAATTAAGGGGCCAAAAAGAGAGATAAGCCTACTTGACAAAGGCTTTTAATTAAGTCCATCAAAATGTTCCCGTTCCTCTATGGTTGCATTTATTTGTGAGATGGAAAATGTCTACTTCTAGGAAAATATCCTACCATTTGGGTTTAATAGATGTAGACAGATATAATTTATTAATGGGTTTCTCTTACAAGTGCACAGACCAAAAACAGTGGGAGACTTAACCACACTTCACATAATGGCTATTTTAGTAAAGAAAAAGACAAATGGCTTTTTGCCCTTTATACTGCAAACTAGTACTATGTTTAATTATGAGTTAGAAATATAAATATGGGTCAGGACCAGCTATTATGGATTTTGTTTTCCCAGAGAAAGGGGAGTCCCAGCCAAGATGTGACAAAAATATATACCACGGCTCCCTGTTATTTGGTGACAGACACTTTCCCAGTCCTTCGATCTCTATACGGCTCACCCACTAAATTGAAGTCAGAGAATCCAAAGCTTAGCATTTGGGTCTGTTTCAAATCCACATAAGAGAAATAAAGCAGTATTATTTTGCCTTATTTATCTTTTTCTCTTTGGCACTGACATGCAAGACAATCTAAACAGCTTGCAAAGTTGTCTTGTCAGCCTTCAGCAGGGCCACGATAGGGCCCAGTATTGGGGCTTATGAAATCAGCTTACAAATTAAACATAGCATATCTTTTAAAACCACTGTAGAGTCTAAAAATAAGTAAACTCAATGGGTAACTTTAAAGCACACACCTGATTTCAAGCTAAATATTAGTTCAGTTACTTGAGAATCTTTCTAATGGTTTGCTGAGCAGCTGGTTTGAAGACTTTACCTCTTGATAAATACTCCTAAACGTGCCTAGAGTGTAAGATACTAAATATGTAGGAGGGCCCTCTCCTTGTCTCTGTTACATGTATGCTAGAGCCAGAGTTAATAAAAAAATATCAAAGGGTTCTCTGCAACTTAAATAAAATCCGGCCTAGCCCTAGTATTGTTGGTAATCACACCCTGTCATTAAAAATAAGCAAAACCTTGTGGAAAATGTTTGCTTTTCAGCCTCTTTGCTGTTGCTTTGAAGCAGCCTTGACTTAGTTGGCATGCCCTTCCTTGCTCCTTGCATTATTCTGATCTGAAAAATGCAGTGTTGTCTACACCGCTGACCCTGGCCTGGCATGACTTGAGAGCCACATGGGAAGTGGCTGCTGAGACTCACAAAGGGCACCCTATTTGTGGCAAGTACTGGACCGGATGAGGCACTATCTTCCCTTCCCAGAGGAAAATATTCCTGCCACAGAGAGCCCTGTCCAGTCACCTTTCCTAGTCAAAACGAAACTTGGTTGGCCTGAACGCTTTCCATGGAGTGATGATAGTTTTCTCAATTATGATCCCCCCCCAGCAACCTGGCTTCCCACCTGTTCCAACTTATCTAGAACATATCTTTGCTCTGGGAATAAGCTATAATGTCAGTTCTTTTAAATAGTAAGTTGATTTTTGAGCTTTAATTTTATTTTCCCCCTTGTATTTAGCACACCTTCTTCTCAACAAAGAACACTACTACACTTCACAAAACTTTTGCTTTAAAGTACTTACAAGCCTTCCTGCAAATATCCTATCAGGAATTCCTCAGTTTGGAATCAGGGACACTAGATTTCAATAGTTCAAATTTCTCCAATTCTAAGGAGGACTATATCAGTTACATAATTTTCTAAATAAGGGGCTAGTGATTACCATTCTGCTTTGAAAACAGCAGACATATTGCTGAGATTAAAAATGGTCAACACTAAAACTGAGAGGATAATAAGTTTCAGCCTCCCTACAAAAATTCCTCTTTGCAATGGATAGGAAATGAATAATTTTGAATTTCCTAATTATGGGCTGAGGCTACATTTGGGCAAATTCTTTTCTCCCTTTCCTCACACTTACTAAATTGCTGTGCCTACTGTTAGCAAGCTCAAGGTGTGACAACTGCTAAGAAAATATAAAATCCAAAATGCCATTTCTATGTATACACAGCGAAGGCTATCTGAACTGTTTCTTTTCACTTAGCAGGAACTGATCTATCTTCATTTTTGCTTCCTGTTACCAGATGCCAGGACCAGTGTCCCGTTGGCATGTATGGAGTTCGCTGTGCTGAGACCTGCCAGTGTGTGAATGGAGGAAAGTGCTACCACGTGAGCGGCACGTGCCTCTGCGAAACCGGCTTTGCTGGCGAGCGCTGTGAGGCCCGGCTGTGTCCCGACGGGCTCTATGGCATCAGATGTGACAAGCGGTGCCCCTGCCACCTGGACAACACTCTCAGGTGAGGTTCAGTTGCCCCTAGAGGGATGTATTGTCGACCACTGCAAGGAAAGTTTGGGTTGAGATGCTTCCTGGCTCTGGATCGGCGTGCTCAGGAACCTACTAGTGAGTGATGGTCCAAGTGAGCAAGTTAGCTGGTTGTGGGTGGCTACCAAATTCTATTCTTTATGAATGGCCACTACCAGGGACTAAATTTGCTGAGGCCAATAGAGTATTTCCTATGAGAGGGATTCCTTAAAAGCAAGGATGCAATAAGAAAAATGGGTTAAGGCCAGTTTGATTCATAAATTGCACAGTGCTTCTCCCTGCCACCTCTTTTACTTAACAGCACATCTGTGTAGAGAGGAAGTGTATGGGGGGAATGTTGTGAAAGTGTTTCACATGTGGCTGTCATATGTGAAGTACTTTTTCAGAATTGATGATTCTGACATGGAACTCACAAGGGTCTTTTAGCTTAGAAATTCCTCAAAGAATTTCAGAACAGGAAACCATGATCCCACCCACCCTACTATACTTTGTCTGCCCCTGAAAATATCTTTCCACCCCCTTTCTTCCTCTCTCTCCCCTAAGGACCAGATACATATCACTTAGAATTCTGGGCCTCATTTGTAAACAGCTGGAAAAGCTGAATTTGACAAATATGTAGTGTATTATATAGCAGTTCAATATTAGTCAAATAACTTTTATTTTCATTCAGCACAGCTGTTAGTTCATTTATGCTTCTGAAAGATAACTGGTAACCACATTAAATCTTAAATGCACAAAAGTTAAAAGTAAACAGAAGTCGTGCTCGCTTCGGCAGCACATATACTAAAATTGGAACTATACAGAGAAGATTAGCATGGCCCCTGCGCAAGGATGACACGCAAATTCGTGGAGCGTTCCATATTTTTGGATGGTTACACTCATAGCAGAAGTATAATGGACCAGGCGAGAAAATAACAAAAATAATGAACAACCATATACCAGAGACATTTTGCGGGGGTGGAGTGGGGAATGGATCAAAAAACGGGGGGGGCGGGTTGGTGTGGGGAGGGAAATGCACGGGATATGGTGATGGCACAGGGGTGACTTGGTGATGGGAAACCCATGGGGATTACAATTGAGATGGAAAAAAAATGTACAAAATGATGTAAAAATAAACTGTTATAAAAAAAAGTAAACAGAAGTCTGTAGTTGGTCTCTAAACTGTTGTTGACTCATAAAACAAACAACAGAAAAAAACCTTTGCATTGTGACTGGAAGACAGTGTATGCTGGAAGACTTTTTACTAGAATATTTCAAAGAAATGCATTCTCAATATGTTACATGCAACTTTGTAAGCTACTTTAGGCAACTTTCAGTTTTCTTCATTGGAATATATGATCACTCTTTAAGTGAAAATGAAAATCTCTTGCAAGGTTAAATGAACATTTGGGTAAAAAATGAAAATCTCTGCAGGATTTTGCCTTTTATTTCTCTATCAGGATTATGGACAAGCCATGTGTTTGGCTTCTTTTCCTACTGGATAAAATTTGTCACAGCAGAATGGCAAATGTCATGTAGTGATAGCTACAGACTTTTTAATGCTAGCATGCTGTTTCATTGTAGGTAGACACAGGTTGAAATCAAATAGATTGATAAACCCATACAAGAGAGTTTTGCTATGAGAGTAATTGGAGAAGCAGAGAAAACATTGATTTTGTTGGAACCAGGTACCATCTTAGTGGTAGACTGTGAACTGTCCCAGATGAAACTGGACAGCTATTTATTGACACAAACTTTGAGATAGGTTACATATACTTAAATATTTGTGTTTTATCCAAAAGGTACATGAAATTCACATGTATGTGACAATCGCATAAATGGAAAGAAATTAAAAATCTGGTACTTTTCATAACATCGATACATTTCATGAAAATGTATCAAATAATCAGAAGATTATAAAAACAATTAGCCTTTTCAGTACTTCCCTAAGTAATGATAGTTTTTAAAATTAGCTTTTAAAATTTTTTATTAAAGCCAGATAAATCTTGATTTTATAACTGTCTTAGTGAATTCGCAGTGAGCCATATATCTGATTTTTATGTCTTGAACTCCTTTGTAAAATTCCTGGAAAAGAGCTTCCTTTTAACAGAAAGATATAGAACCTTTATATTAATTGAAAGTGTATCTTGTACACTTTGTCTTTTAATCGAGAAAATGGAACTTGTTATTACATCATTTGTGATGCATGTTATCCTAAAACCTTTTCATTATAATTAAGGCGATAACAAAAACAATGCAAACTATTAATTCTGTGGATGTAGCTATCTGTATTTGAACAAGAGTATATATTTGCTAGCTTTTGTTGCATTAAAAAAAAAAAAATACTCCAGGCCCTCCCTGGTGGTACAACCGGTTAAAGCACAGCACTCAAGCAAGCTGCATCCCCTTCAGTGGGAGTTGAATCCTCAGCCCGGAAGTGTGATCTGCCCACTGCTCCCCTCGTTGTCAGTCTGTCAGTCTGCATATTCTGTACCCTACTCTGTCTTTGGTGAACCCTCTCACCGACTCTGCACCTCTGGCTTATACCCCCTGTATGCATACATAAATAAATCTTAAAAAAAAAAAAAGGAAAGGAAAAAACTACTCCAAAATTTGGTGTGTTTTTTTTTAACAGTTATTAACTAATTATTTTTTACTTGATTATTTGGGCTCAGCTCTGCTTGGTAGTTCTGGCACTGGTCTCCCTGTGTTCGGTTCTCAGAGGCTGAATAATCCTGGAATTCCTCACTCACACGTCTAACATTTGGCTAGATGAAGGAGGTGGTGACCCATATTTGTCCAGTAGGTTAGTTTGAGCTTCTTTATAGGGTGACTGACTTCCAAAAACAGCAAGGGGCAGGGTAAGCCCCATTATGCAAATGTTTTTTTAAGTCTTTGGCTATTTGATGTTCACTGATGTTCTTTCAGCAAAGCAGGTCAAACAACCACGTCCAGATTCAACCTACCCTGCCTCCTGATTGGAAAAGTTGCAAAGAATTTGTAGTTATTCTTATTTTTCTATCTCTCATAAGATTTAGATGAATTTAATTATATTTAGAAATAATATCATTTTGAAAAATCAAAATAGCATGGTTTATAGCAACCTAAAGCATTCACTGTGATCTGGAATTTTCCATTGTAAGTAAATTTTTATGCTACGAATTATTTTGAGCAGGAAAATGAAATTTGGGATTTAGTTAAGATTCTGCATGAGATATGTATATTAGCTCTTGTTAATAAGGAAATTTAACAGCTGTGGGCAAGTAGGATATGCCTATTTGCAAATGCCACCTAATTTCACGGAAACCGGCACATACTCTGACAGTACAGTGTTTAGATGAAAGAGTTACTTATATGTAACTTTTCTCAAGAAAGTAAAATGCTTACTTTCTTTGCAAAATAATTGTCATTGCATTTAAGTATTACTAACAGCTAAGGAAATACAGGAAAGGAAATTCAATGACTCATTCAATTTTAATCAATATTATATTAAACTATAATAATTTAACTCTTAAACTAAAAAACTTACTAGCAATATTTGTATCTCGTTATGTGTGTATAAAGCCAGAGATATTCCTATGTCTCTAATCCTTTTTTCACATACACAAAGCAGTTTGTTCTCTAGAAAGAGAACAGGTAGGAGTATATCACCCTTCAACTTTGAATTTGCTGCTCTAACATCAACACGTAAATCTCATTACCAATTAAGCTGCCTGCCTGAGAACCCATCAAATACCTCCAAAGTGCTCTGGCTTCCTACATCTAATTACAAATTGCAGAATAGTAATTTTGGTGTCAATCAATCTGGGAAGCAGTGTGCTGAACTAATACTCACTGGGGGGCCTTGAATATCAATTTCTCTGTCTGCCTCTTGCTTAGTTCAATTCTCCATCCCCAGATTGTCTACTCTGTTTAACATTTATGCCTATGTCAAAAATCTTAGCTTCTGCTTTTTAATGTAAAATAATATTTTCTACTAAATATATCTCTTTTATAGTAAGTTAAAGTACACTAGTTTAACCAATTCATCACTTGAAATATTTCCTTCCCTTTTTTCAAATGTAGCACCTTACTGAAGTCAATTTTAATTTCCTCTGTTTGCACACAATACAGACTTTTGTTGGTCCTGTTAATCCTTGTTATCTGAGTTCATCCCAAATTTTAGTAATTCTGTTTCATATTTGGTCCTTCGTGAATGCTGCTGTCAAACTTCTTATTGCTTTGGTATAAAAACAAATAAATCTGGATTCAAGTTTGAGTCTGCCACCGTCTGTGTGAGATTCTGAATAAATTACTTGCTCTTTCTATACTGTGTTCCCTCACCTATAAAATGGGCTCATACCTAACACTTAGAATGGTTATGAGGATGAAGTGAAATAATGCATGTGGATTGCTTAGCAGGGTGTTGGCACACATTCAGTGCCACTTACAATATCATCATAAACTTCACATAAGTGTTCCCTACCTAATTGTGATTCTACTTTAAGCTATGACTTTGACATTTTAAAAGTTAATTTTAAGGGAGATCTTGCCTTTGTGTTGCATATATACAGGTTGTAATTTAATATTGCTTGCTGAGCTATGGAGGCGGCCATGGGGCAGGAGTAGATGAATGTGTGAAAGCAAGATCCCTGGTCACATCAACTGTGACATTTCCTATTTACTCAACTGATGTTAACTATAGGCCTACAGTGTGCCAGGGACAGGTAATAAAACAGACTTAATTCTTGCCCTTATGAAACTTGAAGTCCAGAAGGGAATGAAGACATTAAATGATTGTAAAAATAAATGAAAGATTATAGATAATGATAAGTGGGATGAGGGAGAAAAGCAGGGTGTTATGAAAAATAATAAGCAGATAGACCTAATGTAAACAAAACTCTAAGAAAGAGCTATTTAAATTGAGACTGAAAGGATAAGATGGAGAGGTAGGCAGAGTGGAGAATAGTATTCTAGTTATGTGGAAAAACCATCAGAAGCTGTTAGGTTGAAAAAACTCAATACTTGTACAGACTGAAAAAAATTCAGTGCAAATCAGAATAATAATAAAGAGATAATAATGATGAAAAAAGAGGTTGGACATTAAACAGTAGCCAGATAATGAAAGCCTGTGTACCATGTATATGGGGTGGTCATAGTTCATATTTTTGGTGTCCTTGAAATTAGGCCTCTTGTCTTAATAATGTAATTATTAGTAACTGTCTTTATTCTTAAATATGTCCTGGTTTAGGCAATTCTATAATCACTAACTATATTAAGCAGTTGGGAGCCTTTGAAGAGTTTTACAGAGAATGAGATATGACCTACTTTTTAGGTGATGGGCATGCGTATATGCAGGGAGAAAATTAAAGGCTATTCAAGACTTTGGCTCAGACTAGAATGTTACCAGTGAAGATGTAAGATGTGGATGGATTCAAGAAACAATGTGAATGGTTAAGCCCTAGTGATTGAATGCATATGGGAGATGAGAGAGGAGGGATTATAAAAAATAACCATTTGATTTCCAGTTTGAGCAACCAAATAAATGGTAAATGGTGGTACCTTTTGAGACAACTGAGAGCAGACAGTGAGTGAGGAGTGAAGAAAGAGAAGTGTTCAGCTGTTTTGTTTTGTATTTTTTAAAGATTATTTATTTATGCACACAGAACTGGGGCACAGGCCAGAAGTGCAGGGGCGATGAGAGGATTCACCAGAAACAGAGTGGGGACAGAACAGGCCAGCTGACGAAGTACACTGCTGAGGAAAGCAGTGGGTGGGTCAGGAGAGGTCTGCCACACCATGTGGGTCACCTCCAGGACAGGGACCGAACTCAAGCTGAAGTAGCTTTAGCTTCTTAGTGCTGTACTCTAACCCACTACGCCACCAGGGAGGGCTCTCAGCTCTGTTTTTGATACATCAAAACACAGATAGCACAGAGATGCCAGATATTTGCTTCAGCATAAGTAATTCACCTAAGAATAAGTAGATCTGAGCAGAAGGAAGTACATGTGAGTCTCGAGATACCCTCTTTTGAATCCAGACAGAGCTATATGCAAGAAATTGTTTTAAATGTAGACTTCTATTAGGATATTTCCTCATACCATGTTTCCTGAGCAATGCTTGTGACAGTGCCTAGCTTTTGTGAGCACTCCATTACTGCCAGGTTCTCAAAGTGTATTTAAATAAATTTCTGAAAATACGAAAAAACTGTCCAATCATAGATTTTTTTTTCTCACAAAGGAAAAAAAAGAAAGGAAATGGAATTTCAGGGTGTGGGTTGAGGGCCTCCCTGTACAGACTAGACTGTCAGGTCCAAAAAAGTTATGTGCTTTTGCTAATATAACCCAGGTAGCAGAAGAACTAGAATTATATCCTCAGTCTTAATCCTTCCCAACATATAACAGTTCCCAAGAGTGATAAATTTATGAATAGTCCTCTTATGAAAACGTCACTTAGCAAATGCCTACATGCAACAGTCATTTTGTTCTTGGCCTTTGTTCAGGGAGGATTTTATCTCTCTGAGTGGGGAAAGTTCAACAGCCTTCCACTTGTGTGCAGAACTAGTTTGATTGTTGATTTTCCTTTAGTGCAGAACACATGTGTTTTCAGTGCCACAGGGTGTCCTATTGTGTCAGCCTCACTGACGCATGCATCTTCACACAGCTGATATGTCCATTTGCTGGGGAGCGACAGCTGGCTGCTTGACCAGCCAAGGTGGCTGCTGTTTCAGGTAGAGGCAGCTGTCCTGCTGCCAAGTACAAGAGGCCAAGAGTTCCTTACACATCCCCTGGTTAACTGATTTGTGTTGTTCATTGGATGACATTCTTTCGACTTTTTATTTAGTTGACTGCTTATTGAGTTAATGCTTTGGATTTACAAAAAGTGTACTTTCAGACAAAAGCACAAGGTTGTCATAGTTATCCTGTTAGAGGATGATGCTGATTACATGCAACATTCCTGTAGGTTTCATTCCATTAATTAAGTGATACCAACCGTGGGAATGAAGTTTAAATTATTGTGCATGGAATTATCACACATTCAGCGATCATGGTAAAATTAACATTTGTACGGGCCTTGGGTGTCATGTTTACCCAAGAGTGATTTGCTTCTTTCATCCACGTCTCTCAGCTGTCACCCCATGTCTGGAGAGTGTGCTTGCAGACCGGGCTGGTCAGGACTCTACTGTAATGAGACATGTTCTCCCGGATTCTACGGGGAAGCTTGCCAACAGATCTGCAGCTGCCAGAATGGAGCTGATTGTGACAGTGGGACCGGAAAGTGCACCTGTGCCCCAGGATTCAAAGTAAGTGGCTGGGAAGGAGACAGGGGATGCACTGTGGAGCTTATTGATATCATGATTTATATGACCTTTTTTGTCTGTCTGTCTGGATTTCTGAGTACAAAGAGTGTGCTAAAATCACTCAGACCATTAGCAAGAAAAAGTAGCAATAAAACATCTAAGTTAAACCTTAAGAATGATGACTGAGAAAGCTGATGAAACTATAAGTGTGGCACTAATATTTAGTTATTTAATTAATATATGTTGTGAAGTATGAGGTGTTTCAATTATTCCTCTCATAAGTGTTCTGCTGTGTTTTATAGCCAACAAATATATTGCTTTCCAAGTTGGATATGCATTATTGTAAACGACTTTTGTTTCAATCTTGTGCAATTTGATGACATATATCAAGTTAGCATATGTTCCACTTTTTTTTAATTTAAAGAGTAAGTTTATTAGAAAGAGACAAGAGAGGAAAGAACACTTGCATAGGCGCAAGTGGGCAGGAAAAGCTGCCCTGGAAAGGACAGGTTTGCAGAGAGAGACCTGTGTGGTCGCAGGGGGCGGCCTTAGGAAAGCAGCTTCCACTGAGGGAGATTAGTACAGAGAAGTCCTGGCAGATACAGGTCACTGGCAGGCAGGAGGCCGCTGCCCTGCAGGATACCTGTAAAATCACAGGTGGGCAGAGGATGCTGCCAGCATGCGTTATACTTTTAGGTTCAGTGGTCAATAATACTGAAAAGTTTTTGGTTTCTTTGAGAATCTAGACCTAACAAATAAGTCTATAAACTAATAGAGCAGGATTTTGCCCAGGTTTTGGGATTTCCTAGGTAGGAATCTTCGCTTTAAAGGAAAATGGGTGGTTCTTGAATTGTTTTCTCCCATGTTATAGAGGAAGAACCTAAATCATGAAGAACACTGGTGATTTCTCCAGAGCACATATGTGGAACAAGTGGATTTATAGTCTCAGAACTCTATAGGGCTTTCTAGTCAATGCCACCGTCCTTTAGTTGAGCTCTTGAATTCACCTTGTCCTAAAAGTCTTTTCTGTTTTTAAAGATGACCTTCATCCACGACTAGATGTTGCCAGTCACCAGTGGTAACTTAAGTTTAACGTTACCTGTCAGATAAATTGAATCAGGCTACTGATTGAGTGTGTGTATTCAGTTGTATGTCTTCACCCACTATTCATATTACATATTATACTAGTATATCTAGAATACATTGCAATGTAATATATAGTTCATATTTATCTTTATTTATTGACAGTAATTTTACAACTACAGTTTATTGTTACATATCTAGTTATCTGAGCAAGGACAAATTTTGGTTTTGCTAGGAAAGAAAACTAATGAAGGCAGCAGATTTTTTTCTTTTTTGGATCCCATTTAATCTTATATTCTAAACATAGACCAGTTAGCATTACACTTAAATCTCAAAAAATTGTATAGTGGTGACAGTATAGCAACTTTCAAAATATATAATGTATTAAAATTAGAAAAAGCATATAATTAGCATCTCCAAGATATATTTTTGTTTATTTGCATTGGCCCTGTTTCAGCTGGTAAAATTGCATGCATTTTCCTATTTGTGCCTGTCTAGGGAATTGATTGCTCTACCCCATGTCCACTGGGAAGCTATGGGATAAACTGTTCCTCTCTCTGTGGCTGTAAAAACGATGCTCTCTGCTCTCCTGTGGATGGGTCCTGTACTTGCAAAGCAGGTAAGTGGGTGAATGAGTCTTCCAACTACCCCTTGTCCCGAGTCTTCTAAAGTCAGAGGAGAGAAATCTTTTCCAGAGTTTTGACTCCAGCTGTACTAAACTTGGGGGCCTGACCTCAGCAAGCCCCTTCTCCAGGGTGGACTCATGCTTTCATAAGTCATGAGAAGGTGCTCACGTAAGTGCTCTGGTCTGTGACATTCCCGCCAGGTCTGAAGTATGAATCCCTTTGGGGCAGAATAGGCAAGGTGACCTGTGTCCAGGCCCCTAAAATGACTGACCTGGAGTAGTGAGGAGAAATACAACCAACCACTGATTTCACATGTCTGTCCATCATTGCTACCACAGCCAAGATCCTGAAAACTCACTGCTTTTGGTTCATAGGATCCTGCTGTCAAGACAGGGCTTCTCTTTCAACATAAACTTTCCTCTCCCTCCCAAAGAAATGTTCCACTTTTCTGGCCTGAATTAAAGTCGGCATTCCATGGAGCATGTCAGTGTGTACCAGAGGTGCTCCCCTACATCTCTCTCCCCACAGTAGTCCGGGAGTGCTTCTTGATGTTCTTGACAGATCACACAGTACACACAGCTACTGGGGCTTTTGTTCACTTCTGATGGAGGCCTCATCTACATGGCAGAGCCAGAGCGCTCTGTGCCTGCATCTCTGGGATGTCTCCAAATGAAAACGTGGTTTGGAAAGGCTGGGCAAACTCCCTGTTGTCCTGGTTTCCTCATGTCTCTGGTGTTCCTGTCACTGCAGGCTGGCACGGGGTGGACTGCTCCATCAGCTGTCCCAGTGGCACCTGGGGCTTCAGCTGTAACTTAACCTGCCAGTGCCTCAACGGGGGAGCCTGCAACACCCTGGATGGGACCTGCACATGTGCACCTGGATGGCGTGGGGAGAAATGTGAACTTCCTTGCCAGGTATGTCAGTGTCCCAGCTGCAAAGCTGTGGGATGAGCTGGTGTCTGAGGCTTAGCTCACTTTTGCACTTTTCTTGACTTAAAGTGTCTGAGTGAAGCTGAGAGTGACTATTTGAAGAACTGAGGTGTTTAAACTCAGATTGGATATGGATTCAAAAAGGGACCAACATGGAAATTGATTAGGCAGCTTTCTGAGAAGCACTCCCTTCTTTTCTTCCATCTCTATGTTGCTCACCACAGCTCCCCTCTATTTTCTCTGTTCTTACCCACCCATCTTTTTCGTGGCAGGCAGGGTGATTTTATACAGGGTGCACTTGTCAAACACCTTATATAAATAAGCCTGTCAACCCTCTAGATATTGTGTTTCCATTATAATAGAAATCCCCTAGGCTTGAGGGTGGAAAGTGGCAGAAATTGAAAGGGGGTGTGACTGGTGTCACAGAATGCTGATGGAAGTGGTGAAGGAAGGTCTGGAAGCAGTCATCTTTTAACATGAATATCTCCGAGGTCATAAGCATCTCCAAACATTTCCCCTAGTTCATACTGACTCCACTCCCTTGAACAGCATTAGAAATCCCAGCCTGTGACCACCACAGGCTGACAGAGGGCAAATGGGAAGTGCATTTTGTAGCAACCTACCTGTCCTCTTTCTTCCTGAAGCAACTGGGCTATTTCTTTCCCTCTTTTCCATCATTCTTTCCTCTTATCTTTCCCCTTTCTCCTGAGCCATTAAGCCTTGTCTCCATGGTGTGGCTTCTCTGCCGCAGGGAGGCCATCTGATGGGGCAATGACAGTGTGACTCCTGACTTGGATCTTTTAAGAACAACTTTCCATGGAGAATTTTTAGTTCCTGGGTTTCCTTTTCATTAAGTAAAATCCATTTCCCAACACAGAGACTCCCACTCTGGGCCACTCTCCAGCCCTGCAGAACAAAGTTAAGTTAGCTTTGCTGCCTCTCATGTACAAGTGAACAAATTTTCAAAGCTCTGAGAGTGGCTTAAAGATCACTTTTCACTCCCAATCTAATTGTGGAGAAAGCAAAGCCCCCAGCGCCATCTTGTCCTGTTTTATATATTAAATGCCATAATAAAAGCTGGTGGTTTGGTGGCTCATACTGTGGCAAAGTAAATCCCATGCAGCCCTGCCAAATATCAGTGGTACCTAGCAAATTGTTTTTAATTTGAAGAGGTCCTAGACAAATGATAAAGCCATCAAACATCCACTATCTGTTTTATTGTGGTCCTCAGACCTCTCCCTCTGATAATTGTATGTGTCATTAGTGCTTCGGTAGTGTGGGAGGTTTGGCATGCAAGGAGCAATTTATCAGGATTGGTAAATAAAGAACTTTGCATTCCTCCCCGCCAGAAAAAAACAGTCATGCCCACGAAGAGTCTTGCCTCCACTGTAAAAAAAACGGCTGTGCCTGTAAATACATAAAGGCCTGGGAGGGGCTAGGGAAGGAAGGTGGGTCCATATGTACCCCATCCTCTCTTGAGATCTGTCAGAATACTTCATGTTATCTAGACCTCTTCATGGAAAAGAGGATATTAATTAGAGAAAGTAACAAAAGATGTTAATTTTTCCTCATATGTCCATGTATCCCATTAGGAAATTATGAAAACCAACTTGACCCTATCATTTGTATATATGTTTTTATTTGAAGTTTCTTTTTGTAGATCAGGATACTCCCTTCCCTTAAGGAACAGAATGCCATAGAGAACATTGAAATATTATAAACAGTCTTTAGGAGCAAAACAAAAATGTTTTATCCAGAAAAACTTTATTAGTTAATAATTGTTTTAAAGTTGAACCACTAAACCTTGTTCATTGAAACATTTTGACTTGAATTAATGCTTTATGTCACTGCTTTTATATTAAAAAATGCACAAATGAAAATACAAACTGCCATAACTGGTTTCTTTCCTTTATTTTTTCATTGATGTGAGAAAAATCTAACTTCAGAATTACCATTTACAGGAAGTAGAGAAAAATGGTTTTTTTTTGAGAATGAAGTATTCACATCATAGTAGATGCTTCAGCATGTTGTCCACATATGTAGCAGGTTAGTTATGCCATATTTGGCATAGTTGTTGGCATAGACATTTGACATCACCCAGATTGGTGTCTTCAAAAAGGATAACCAGAATAGGCTCCCGGCTTCCTACAAAACACTAATGGGTGTGCTCAGAAAGCACAGATCTGCTTTGAAATCCTGAGCTGGAAAGGAAGTTCATGAATCAGAAGTTCAGTGGAGTTCTGATAAACTAATTTCACCGAGTGCCACAGTACAGGGTCTGTACCAAAAAGGCTTCTTCACCCCTCCACTAGAGGGCACTCTCTAGTGAGCAGCTTTCATGCCAGCTGCCACCTCGGTGCTTTATCACCAGTGGATGTGCAGTATGTCCACTGGCGATAAAGTGGATGTACAGAGCATGGAAAAGAGAACTCTTTTTTTCTTCTAAAAATATAATAGTTTGGGGCCCTCCCTGGTGGCGCAGCGGGTTAAAGCACAGCACTGAGAAGCTAAAGCCACTTCCGCATGAGTTCAATCCCCGCCTGCCCCGGAGGTGACCACATGGCGTGGCAGACCTCTGCTGACCCGCCTGCTGCTCCCCTCAGCAGTGTACTTTGTTGATCTGCCTGTTCTGCTCCCCACTCTGTCTCTGGTGAATCCTCTCACCCTCTGCATCTCTGGCCTGTACCCCAGTTCTATATGAATAAATAAATAAATCTTAAAAAAATATAATAGTTTATCTTTACATCATTTTATGCCTTTTTCCATCTCAGTTGAAATCCCCGTCGGCTTCCCATCACCAAATCACCTGTATGCCATCACCATAGTCCAGTGCACTTCCCTCCTTCTACTGTTTTTGATCCCAGTCCCTACTCCACCCCCGTAAAATGTCCCTGGTATATAGTTGTTCCTTATTATTATTATTTTCTCCCCTGGTCCTTTATACTCCTGCTATGAGTAAAACCATCCGGTATTTTTCCTTTTCTTTCTGGCTTATTTCACTAAGCATGATCTGGAAAAGAGAACTCTTACCCCCTTCTCCCTTGGCTGGAGAAATTCTGGCATTTAGAGAGTGCTGATGACTGCCAAAACATTAAAAGGTGGTCCAAAAATCCAAGAAAAAAAAATTTTTATGAGTTGTGGCTTATAAGAAGGTAAAAAAAAGGCTTTTTATTAATGGACCTTTTTGTATATATTTGCATATAAACATGTCAGCATATTGTCTTCCTTGGTTTCACCATATACATGTACTGACCATTATGCTAGACATCTACTAAAGTTTGAGCAATTTTAAAACACTCACCTCCTGGAATCTACACTTGGGAGGCCCAAGCAGATACTAGCAGAGGTGATTATAGCACATGAAGTTCTGAGAAGTGTTTTGGATAGGGAGAAGTTGTGTCTAAGCTGGCTGGCTGTGCCCTTGTCTCCTTCCTGGATTTTCCCACACCCTCATTGATGTCTTCCATGCAGGATGGCACATACGGGCTCAGCTGTGCCGAGCGCTGTGACTGCAGCCATGCAGATGGCTGTCACCCCACCACGGGCCATTGTCGCTGCCTCCCTGGATGGTCAGGTGAGAACCTAGTCCAATGTCCAAAGTGGAAAATACACTTAGTACTGTCCCCTTGCTACATCAGACACACACACACAGGTCAAGTTGCCAGAAAAAAAAAAAATTAAAATAACAGTCTCCAGTAAGACAATGCATTTTTACCCAAGTAGTACTGCTAGACCTAATGAACTTGTGATCCAGGGTAACTTTTTGTTGATTTGTTTAGAAGTGATTTTCTTAAACCTTTCTGTAAGGTCCAGCTATCAGAATTCAGATAAACAAGAGGACAAAAATGTAAATTGCTGTGAAAACTTAGCTAGATTTCTGTGGTATTTTGAGAACTGAAAAAAGTTATTGAATTAAACCTTTGTGAATATAATTATGTTTACTATAGTGAGACAAATATTAAATGTTAATATAGTTAATGTTTATATATTAAAATTTTTATTACTTGTCATAAAGGTTTTAAACTTTTTTCTCATAATATTGTTCATAGAAATTCATAATAAGATTACCAGTTTGCTAACCACAGCTGGAAGTTTGTCCTTACTGTTAGGGTTTCAGTGTGTCAGCCAGGAACTTTATCAAATTACCCGTGGACTTAGAAGAAATGTTACCGCATTGTGTTTTTATTTCCCTTTCCTTGGTAAGTAAGGATGTTGAGCATCTTTTCATGTATTTATTGGCCATCTGTATATCTGCTTTATAGAAATGTCTATCCAATATTTTGCTCATTCTTAATTGGATCATTTTATTGAATTATAAGATTTTTATGTTTTCTATATATGTGCCCCTTCAGATATATGATTTGCAAATATCTTCTGTCATTTGTGGATTCTATTTTCATTTTCTTCATAGTGTCCTTAATGAAGGTTTTACTTTGATGAAGTTTTGTTTGTGTTATTTTTTTCTTTTGTTGCTGGTGCTATTCATGTCAAACCTAAGGAACCATTTCCTAACCCAAGGTCACAAAAATTTCTGCCAGTGTATTCTTTGAAGAATTTTAGTTTTAGCTTTTACATTCATGTCTGTGGTTCATTTTAAGTTTGTTTTAATATAGGGCATGAAGTCAGGGTCCAACTTCATTCTTTTGCTGGTCAATGTCCAGTTGACCTGGCATCATTTGTTGAGAACATCATTCTTTCCTCCATTGTATTCTTTTACTACCCTTATCAAAAGTCAATTAAAAATATATTTGAGATATTTTTTTCTGGATATTTACTTCTATTGCATTGATATTTATGTTTATCCTTAAGCCATGTTGTTTAGGTCACTGTAGGTCTGTAGAAAGTCTAAGAACTACAACTCTGGTCTTTTTCAAGATTGGTTTGCCTATTGTGGGCCCCTTCAATTTCCATATGAATTTTGTTATCTGCTTGTCAATTGTTGTAAAGAAATGAGATGAAACCTATAGATCGATGAGAGGAATATTGCCAATTTAGAATGGCAAGTCTTTAGATCCTTGAACATAAAGATGTTATGAATAAATTCTTCAGCAGAGACTATTAGGTTTTTTTAATTTAAGAGCTTCTTTGGTAAGCTCAGACAAACTGTTGTCTACTTGATTTATAGTATTTGACAGCTATCTTGGAAAACAGGTTAAGACTGGTATGAAAATTTTTATTTTCTTTCACTGGGAATAACCCATAGACTCAAGGGCCTCCTAGTGCTATAGTCCCTTTTTGACTTGGAAAAGCAGGGGTAACTCACTTCACAATCTGATTTTCACCTTTCCATGTTTCTCTTGAAGATCTCAAATGAAATGACCAACACTAAATTCTCAGTGACCACAGTGAAGTGAAATAGCATTTTCAACTCTCTGGAAAATTTAGCCCTTTCCTAGTAAGAAAAACCACATTTGTTTTGGACCATATTGCACCAAATTATTTTGTCTTATGAATATCAAGGAAGCACGAGGTGTTCCTGAGCATACTAGTCATTGTTCATGTACTCACCTGCTTTGATGATTTGGAATCAGTCCTTGAAAAGCCTAGTCCTGTACACATAAGCAAAGCAGGAGATATGATTTGGCCTGGGGCCATCTAGAAAAATGTGTTAGCTGCATTCCACAGTCTGGGTCATGGGGTAAAGACAAATTAGCCCATCTGGCCTTGGACCTATGGAGCTCTTGCAGGAATGCAGTGGCTTTGTCACACAGCATATCTTGTAATCCTCTGTCCATCTGTGACTGGTCTGATTCTACAAAAGGGAAGAAATTTTGATGCTTTATGTGGCTCTGTGGCTTCGTGTCCTTATCTCTCTGCTTCATGACTCCAACATCTTTTTCTTTGGGTCTTCTGCGTTGAGCTATTGACCTGTAGGTATCTAAGGCTGCTATGAAAGTATATATATTTTTTTTTTAAGATTTATTTATTTGTACATACAGAACTGGGGTACAGGCCAGAGGCTCAGGGGCGGTGAGAGGCTTCACCAGAGACAGAGTGGGGAGCAGAACAGGCAGATCTACGAAGTACACTGCTGAGGGGAGCAGCGGGCGGGTCAGGAGAGGTCTGCCACGCCATGTGGTCTCCTCCGGGGCGGAAGGGATTCGAACTCATGTGGAAGTGGCTTTAGCTTCTCAGTGCTGTGCTTTAACCCGCTGCGCCACCAGGGAGGGCCGAAAGTATATTTTTTAGAGCAGTCATCCCCCACAGAACACACTTGTTATAAAAAAGCATCCATAGAAGAAGGAAAAAAAAAGTTACTAAAGTCCCAAAGAACACACTATAACTAGATAAAGATTTAGTCTGTTTTTCTAAAAGGAACATTTGTTTTAAGTACCTCATAAGAACTTTCCTCAATATAAAGAAACCTCGCTTTTCATTTACTAGTAGATTTGAGGGCAAATAAATAACATAAGCCCTGGGTACCAAGTCACTCTTGTCCTTTCCTCCCTGTTGCTGAAATTGTGCTAAGTATTGCTGGATAGAATATCCATGTACAGGTCACAGTGAGGTTTTGTGAAGAAACTCGTGAAATGTAACACTAAACCCTGGGTTCTTTGCTTGGCCAGATCAGCAAGATGGTACAGAGGCACCATGGCCCGATCACTGAGGATGCTGATCAACCCTCCAGATTTGGAGCCTGAGATACAGAACCCAAGAACTTTATCGATCTTTACATAGAAATTGACACATCTAGGGCCCTCCCTGGTGGCACAGCAGGTTAGGATGCTGTACTGCAAGCGAGCTGCAGCCACTTCACTAAGAGTTCCATTATGTGCCCCAGAGGTAACCCACAGTGGCAGACCTCTCCTGACCCACCCGCTGCTCCCCTCAGCAGTGTACTTCATTGATCTGCCTGTTCTGCTCCTCACTTTGTCTCTGGTGAATACTCTCACTGCCCCATACCTCTGGCTTGTACCCCAGTTCTTCATGAATAAATAAATCTTAAAAAAAAAAAAAAATATGGAGGGCCTTCCTTGGTGGCGCAACGGGTTAGGATGCAGCACTTAAAGAAAGCCACAACTGCTTCAGTGCAAGTTCGATCCCCACCCTGGAGGTGACTCACATGGTGCAGCAGACCTCTCCTGTGTCACCTGCTGCTCCCCTCAACAGTGTATTTCATCGATTCTGGTGAATCCTCTCACCTCCACTGCAGCTCTGGCCTATACCTCAGTTCTCTATGCATAAATAAATAAATCTTTTTTAAAAAAATCTGGAAGCCATCTATGAAACTTCTATTTATTTAAAAAAAAATTGACACATCTAAATTGAGGAAGCCATGTGCTAGCCTGATAATACCATGAAGTTGACTTACATTCTTACCTGGGAGCCATGTACCATTCCTGACAACTTCTCCTCTTTTCTAGCGTTTGACTGTCTTCTCATCTAAGAAGGCAGGCTCTGTTTATTTCCACTCTAGTTGGTAGTCCCATTTAACCTAATCAGGAATAAATATTCAAAATATATTACCATACAGATCAACCAAAACAAATGTTGCATTTTACTTTGCTTCCTAGATATTATTTTTTAAGATTTATTTATTTATGCATACAGAACTGGGGTACAGGTCAGAGGTACAGGGGCAGTGAGAGGATTCACCAGAGACAGAGTACAGAGCAGATCAATGAAGTACACTGCTGAGGGGAGCAGCAGGTGGGTCAAGATAGGTCTACCACACCATGTGGGTCAGCCTGCTGTCCAGGGATCAAACTCAAGCTGAAGAGGCTGTGGCTAGCTTCGTAGTGCTGTGCTTTAACCTGTTGCACCACCAGAGAGGGCCCTCTTCCTAGATATTATTTACAAAAGGAATATACTGCTTTTCAAAATGAAAAGTATACACTTTCATTTACATGGTTATTTAAAATCTTAATTTATTGATATTTTCAACCTATAGACATCTTTATCAACAAAGACAGACTGCAGTTAAAAAAAAAGGGGGGAGGGTTTAAGAAAATAAAACATCGCCTAAAATATAGATTGTATCTTGAGCTGCTTCTCTCACATGTGTAACACATGTAACACATGTATGCACACACACAACTATAAAATGGGAATGGCTTTCAAAATGATGATTCTGTAGTTCCAGTTGTGAATAAAGTATAGCTAGGGGAAGTGTGTGTGTGTGTGTGTGTGTGTGTGTGTGTGTATGACTATTTCCATAGTAGTGGAGTGATATGCTTTGTAAAGTATTTAAAAAAAAAAAAAACAGTAGAAATGCTGCTTTCCCCCCTTTCTGTTTTGGCTTTAGTGAACCGCACATCTATTCACTGAGCTTCATACCAATCAAGATTTCATTCCAGCCATCCTAGGACATGTGCATTCCCCATCCTGGTTCTAAACCTGCCTAAGATCACTGTCACTTAAGAATTCTTTTTAAAGTTCTTAGACCTATTCCCCCCACCTCACATCTACTCACACAACAATGTGGATGGTAGGCTAGGAGGAGAATGAAGCTACTGCCAGCCATAAAGCAGGCTTTTTTGGGGTTTGTTTTTGTTTTAATTTGGGTGTATTTCTTGGCAAATGGAGTATGAGCTGGATTTCTACCTCAACTTACCTTGTGGCTAGGGACTCTTG